TTGCTAATAGCCACCATACGTTCCTTAAATTCACATATGAAATTTCAAATGCTGAAACTACATTTCTAGATGTTCATTTATTTAAAGGGAGAACATTTCTCAATGAAAACGTATTGAATTTGAAAACACACTTTAAACCCACCAATTCATTTTTATACCTACATCGGAACAGTTGTCACATTAGACATGTGTTTTTCGGTTTTATCAAGGGTGAGATTATACGATACATCAGAAACACAAATAATATAGATGATTTAGAACAAATTCGTTCACAGTTCAAATTGAACTTGATTAAAAGGGAATACAAGGAGAAAGAGATAGATAACTGTATAAATGAGGCAAGAACAAGGCATAGAAAATTTCTATTGAGAAAAATTCTAAAGAACAAAAAGAGGATATTCCTTTAGTTTTATCTACCAAATACAACCCATGCATAAGAAAACTTGGAAAATATATCATCAAACATTGGCACATATTACAAAAAGATGTAATTTGCAATAAGATATTCACAGAGAAACCTATTATAGCATATAAAAGGCACAAAAATTTAGCAGATCTGATAACATCAACTAAAATTAGAAATTAGGAAATATAGGACAATCCCTGATGATGGCGGGCCTATATCTAAAACCCATTTTAGAATCTATAAAAATGCCGCCGGAACACGAAATTAATATAGGATTCATGCAAGCAATAATATATAAATTTATCCAGTCAGTTCCAGTGATTTTCCAGAATATATATATTAAAATACCCTCAGGAATGAAGTATTTTCATGCCTTAATCTGGTGGAGTAACGTTTGATATGAATTACATAAGGATGTCGGAATATGTGAATGTTGGGTTCCATTTTAATATTCAAAGTTGAAGATATCAATAGAAAATAAAACACAATATACTGCTTATTTTTAAATACTTAAAAGATAATAAATTGAAAATGTTGAGGTGGAAATTATTACATTGGATACTGCCCTGTAAACAAATATTAGAAACTTGGAAAATAGTAGATACTCCTTTATGTAATATATGCAATGTTAAAGAGAATTATGAACATATCTTTATCACCTGCAAATATTTAAAAATTTTTTGGGAAAGTATTAGATTAATTCTTAATAAACTCAAAATTGGATATCACATTATAAGTTTAGAAAACCTGATATTTGGATATAAAATAAATGATGAAAAGTATTATGAAATTAATTTTTTTATAACAATAGTAATATTTAGTATAAATAAAGCATACTACTTATCAAATAGAAAAGAAAAGGAAGTACATGTGTTCGCTATATTTAAGTATCAATTTTTGTCAAGAGTAAACCACCACAAAGCAATGAAACAAGAAGTAAGCTTTACGCTAAAGCAAATCCTTTTACTTCTTAGCTGTTTAATACCACATGTTTCAGTGACACTAAACATCAAAAGTCAAAACTAATAGTTATCATGGTTATATACTCACAAATTGTAAAATTCAATCCCAACTGCATGTTTTTGTTACAGTAGTATTTGTATTATATAGGACGATTTATTAGTAAATTAAAATATACGGAAAAACACTGTTATATTTCCGGAAAATTTTAAATTGTAATTTATAATTATCATATGTTTATAGTATTAGTATCAATAAGTAACCCTTAACCTATTATTTATAGTATTTAGAGCTTTTAAGGAGAAAGCTGTATCCTTAAAAGATTTATACACAGCTGTAATGAAATAAAGTATAATATGTTAAAAAAAAACAAAAAAAAACGAACAAAAACAAACACAATATATACTTCAAGAATACATATCCTGAATAATGTCTACAAAGCAAAAATAAACAAACAAATTACTAAGAAAAAATAGTAAAAAAAAATAAATAACCCGACAAATAACATAACAAAAACAAAATAACAGACCCAAAGAAAGAATTTTTGAATAAAACATATGAAATCAAGAATGTGTCCACAGTACACGGATGCCCCACTCGCACTCGTAAATTAGATGAAAATTCAAAATGCAAATCAAATCATTAAAATAAAATAGATAAATAAAATTCCAAATTCAAATAAAAACTAAAATGAAATGAAATTTTGAAATAATGGGGTGCTTAATGAACCCTGGCAACAGATATCCAAAAATCAACATGAGAAACTACGTTTGAGGTGGAAATGAAGATTACATGGAATAATGTTCTAAATTGTATAATAATATAGTGATAAATCAAGTTCATCGGTACTGGTGCAGCCTATAAAGTCCGCCACTTAACAAGTTAAAAAACATTCATTTCATAAAGAATGTTTTGGAACTTGTTATACCGCCAACCAGTACCATAAATTGAGAGTCGATATAACTCGGATTGTAATATTCTGTAATAACAAGAATCTGACCGCAGTAACTACTAGCTAACAGATTCCCGAAGCCAATGACATAAATTTGATGGACAATAAATGGATGCAAATTGATAATAGCATAACTGGATAATAAGTGGTGAAAATTGATAATAGCATAACTAAAATTGTAACTTGTATACAAATATATAAATTTTAATATCTGACAAATAAACTATTCCTTCTCACTGTACTTTGGTTCAATAATTATTAAGAATGTTGTTTTTGTCTTCCAATCTTGGTAACATTAGGACCAAGCAAATCTGACTAAGGTAACAAATCTTGGAGAAAATCAATATCGCTTATAAGTTAAGTCCTATCGTATAGAACGCTTTGTCCAATGTCATGTCCATTTTAGTGGATTACTTAACATTGCGGGGTTCTTCGAGAAATGAGCATACAATTAGTTTATCTGTTTACTTACAGTACCTCATAACACTTTGACCTTGTAACAGATTGTGATAAGAAAATGTATAAGAGAACACAAGCATAAGCAACTACAAACTTCCAAGCACGAACTAAGTCATTTTTTGTGATTGAAAACCCCACTATCCAAGCCCGCTTTTGAAAACATGAAAGATCTTAAGGTAACTTCCGATACTAAGGGAGATAACAACGTTTTACTGATGTAAAACTGGTTCCCTGTTTTAATCTTAGGATATATCGCCTATATATCTGGGTCACGGGTACAGTTCCGTTGTCGTATGTTGATAACGTATGTAAACAACTTACAGCTGATCGCACGGAAGAGAGGAACGTTTATCAAAAAGATTAAACTCATGCGTTCGTTTAAAATGAAGAATATAATAGCTTCAGCCTGAAAGTTCACACAGTCTTAAATGATTCTCAACTTATAAGATCATATGATACAAGTTTTTGTGAGTTGGAGAACTTCGGCGTCCGATCACAGTGACCTTTCGTTTGACGAAACCTGGAAAGAAGGTCGACGGCTAGCTCTGGCTCACCACCTAGCGCAGAATCTGTTCGTGAAGATGTGTGACTGTCCCCTGCGGATACTGTCGGCAAACGGAAATACGACCTTGGAGGTGGAGGCAGTGAAGCATTTTGTCCATACCATGCTACCTTGTAGTAGCTGCAGTGCATGTAACCTGCATATCATGCATATGTAAAAGAGTAGATACGAGGAAAAGAAATGGAACTGGTGAATTTGTTATCAATTCAAAAGCTGCACTTGGTAAGAGATTTAAATTTTCTCTCTAGATTCTCTTTACACATTTTACTTGGTGGAGAAGGTGTATGGTTTCATGTCTTGTATAAATGAACCTGCCCCGCACCACTTTTTTTCTTTCTTGAATTCCCCTCTATTATGGTCTGGGGTTTGTGTGGTTTGAGGGTAAAAAGCATAATTTTGAGAGGAAGTTCTGCCCAAATTTTTTAGGAAGCTGGACTTAGTAATTTTTTCTGGAATTTCGCCCCTGGAAGTTATTTTATTTATCATTTTTGCAATGAACAGAAAGACAACACCATAAGGGGCTTTTTAGTTTTGCATTCAAAAGGGGAGGATTATTTTGTAAATAATTATTTGGTAGCAATTTATCATAAATGAAATTAGAATTGAAAAAGAAAACAAATACAGTCACAATGATTCATTCACAGAAATAATGTTTTACAAACTTGAAATATTAGTTGTCTTTATCTTATAATCAGAATTTTCATATTAATCATCTTTTGCATGTGATCATAGACCAAATGGTCTGATACCTTAGAGATTTAGTCATTTAAAAACACAGATAGAATGCTGTGTAGAATGCAGAATAATGCATGATGGGAAAAAAGAAAATGAGGAAGGGGCATGCAAGCCACACCCACCCTCACTCCACATTATTAGAAATTTATATGAGTCTGTGATCTATAAGAATAAAGGCAAATATGAATTTACAATCATACTATATAAATATAAATTAAAAAAAAAAACAATTGTATATTCCAAATAAAATTATGAACTCAATAGTCTAAATAGTTTATCTAATTAACCAATGTGCAGACTGACATTTCATATCATATTTTTCAGGAATGATACATGCAGGAATTAGTGCCTCACATTTTAACAATTTTCTTAATGGATTGAATGTACTTTCTGTGACTTCATCCACCATAACGAAAAAGGAGAATGAAACCGGAATGAAAATATTTGCAGTTGCAAAAGAATCCTGTAAATTAAATCAGGAGAAGAAACAGTTTTAAACATGGTTAATATAATGAATAATTGAAAGGTAATTAAATCTTTAGTTAAATAATTTCAAAGTATTTTTTTGATAATTTACCGAAATAGATATTAAGGACCATAATTATATTCATATTTGCCCTAGCAGTCATAAAAATGAATTAACAGATCATGGTAATAATTTCAAGTTTAGGGTCAATATTTCAAAATATTTTTTTGGTCAAGCAGTGTTATGTATACTTGAAGACTTTGATATAGTATAGATCATAACAGAATTTGTTTCAACAAAAATATTGAACTAGAATTAGTTACATTGGTATTTATAAAATGAAATCCATATTTATGGATAATTTCAACAAATTTAATGAACCCAATTTGGTTTTGAAAGCCTTTATACATTATTGTTACAAATTTCATTGTTGACAGCCTGAGTTTCCAGTTAATTTTAAATGTAATATGTTTTAGCTATAGTATTTGAACACTGCATGTACTTTCATTAATATATGTTGTACTACTTTTTTTCATTAGGTTGAAGCCAGTTTTGTTGCAAAATAGCAAATGTTTGGTACTGGTTGGAACTATGAAAGTAATACAGGTAAATTTAAAGAATTAAGGCTATAACTTTATTAATAGAAAAAAAATGCCCAAATGTCAAGGTCAAAGTGGACCTTGTAGATTCTAAACACCCTTGTGAAATCTTAAGAAGCAACAGTCTTCTATGGTGAGAGGATACCATACTTTGCAATGCTCATGTTATTATATGGAATATGATTTTTTTCAGTTTGTGAGTGAATTTATAGTTAATTTGTTTTAAAAAAAAAATGGCTCGTTTATCATTATTTTTATTATTTTGTTATTGAACAACCGAAGTTGATAACAAGTAATATAAAAGTCTCACTCATTATGAATCCTATAATTATATAAATTTACTCTCAATACGATTTTTATTATATTTCTTATCAATTGTAGGTCTTATGGTGGATCATCATCCTTTAAAAAACAGCAGGTTATTAGCAGCAGTTTTACAAAAAAATAAAGGATATAAATGGCTGTCAATGGTAAATACTTACATTTTAGGATAATTACATGTAGTTACTTTTGAGAAAAAAACTTCAGGTTTCATTTGATACTTTTTAATCTGAAAATGGTGTTTTGCTGGCATAAACATTTCTTTTTGGACAATAGATTTAGTAGATTTTAGTTTGCCTCAAGTTGAAATGCACAAGTTCATATCTCACCAACTATAAATTGTAGGATCATGTAAACTTGTACATAGATGACATACATTTGCCACTTCACTGACTTTGGTTATGTTAAACATCCAGTTTCATATCTCAGCAACCATATTTAAAGGTGTCAGATCATGCAAACCTATATACACATATATGACTCTCAGAGTCTCAGTTAGTACCTCAGCTTCCAGGCAAAAGAAGGGCACAGTGATCTACATTTTACACTATTGATTTGTACTTTATTTTATTATTTAATAAATATAAAGTATATTATAAAGACTGCCACTGGTTCCTATGTGCCACAATGAAGCTAACTATGTGATGTAGATTACTTATGTTTATCACAAACTTGGTCACATGCTGTATATGTAAATATATACCAAAAAGAACAGTTCAACTGTATTGATTGAAGGTAAATGGTCAAGGTAACAGCGAATAAATATATACCTTGAATTTGAATTGTATTGGACACTATAATGCTCCCTATATTGTCACTTATATTTCATTCCAAATTGCCATTGAACATTAAAAAAAAACACTAAAAAGGATGTACATCATATGCAGAAGCAATATAAAATTGCATACCCATCAGGTGACCTAACTATTGCAATCACTTCAAAAACTGGCCATATATCACATTATGATATTAAAAGCTTAATAAGTACCTTTGATAGCATGGTTAGTCACGTATATAATCTTTTTAAATTGATGTTTTAATACATGATTGGATTTTGCACTATAATATTATATATTACACCTTTTCATTACAAATAAATAAATTAAACTTTCAGGTAAATGCAGCATCAGAACGTTCCCCCGGCAAATTTACTCTGAAAATTTGGGAAAGTATGAATTAGAAATTGGAAAGGCAAAGAGATAACCAGAAAACACAGAATTTAAAAGAGAAGAATTCAAATAAAAAGAATAGAAAGACGGCCCCATATGAAATAGAAACTGAAGTAAACGACAATGCTTTAGTGCTTGTGACATTCAGCAAATTCCTTCTCATATTCTTTATAACATATATATATATATATATATAGATCAATGTGTAAAATTTGATTTTCAAACAAGAAGTTTTTTAAGAAATAATGACATTCACTCAGGTAGCAGCTGTCTGTGGATCAAACCTATTCCAGAGATGTAATATGCCAAGATGTGACATTTTAAATGAAGGGAGCAAAATAACTGGTATTTTCTTTTCGTTATGCCACTAATAGTAATATGATATATCTGAATGGGAGCAACCTGTACTATTCAATATGGATCGAAGGATTGACAATTTTGACAGGGAACAAAATGAACTCTAATTATGTTTATATGACTATCAATCAGTATTTGACTGAATCAGAGGAGTAAACTATATACATATTTTTAAATATAACAGTCTATATTTTTGCTTAATTATTGAGGCATTAAAAATAAAGAAAGTTGAAAAACCTTTGAAAAAGTTATAATGTCATCATTTTTTGCTTATGTTACTATGACAACTGAAAATATATAATGTATTATTATTATGCTTCATCAAACTTAAATCATTAATTGAGGACAGGATGACAAAGTCTTGACATTTTTTTAATCCATTTACTTGCATGACTGGTATCTATCAATCGATAATTGAAAGAAAAAAATATATGGTGATTTTCGCTAACTGCTGAGTAATTTGTTTTGCTCGTTTTAGACCACAGTAATGATTATATAAGCTGCATTATCATAATATTTGTTTACATTTACATAATGTGTTGTAGCTCTGAAATCATGGTATTTGATCTCTTTTTGCCTGTTAGGTAGTTACTCTTGCACATCAGAACAATGCAAAAACTTGAATTTTCCAATTTCTTGTCATGTTGCCATGGTAACCATTGTTCATAGAAACAAAAATTGCTTTCAGTTGATTGTCTTGTGAAACTGTATTATTCTGTGTAAGTTTAACAAAGGATATGACAACATGTGTCACACTTTGTACATACAATTTTGAAAGATATACAAAGAACTGCTGTTGATCACTGTGTCGTTAGGGGTCACAAAAACGTTTTTAGGTCAAAAAATAGTCAGGTAACCCATATTTTTCTTTTTATTTTTTCAAAGCTCATTGTTTTGACCATCTTATGTCAAATTTTAAAAAATATTCATTGGACCATTTTTGTTTGAAATTTAAGAAAAATAGAAATTTTTAACAAAATCTGTGTTTTTTGTGTGCAGCAGTGTTGATGAAATTTAAGCCGAAATTAATAAATAAAAATAAAACTGCCATTATTTGTGCTTTATTTACATTTTTGATGTTAATTTTGTAATAAATGAAGAACAAACCTTTCAAAATACTTTCAAAGGCTTGAAAAAAATCCAGAGTTTCTACAACAGGTATATATTTATGCATACACGTGATGTACCAACTTTGGTGACCGTTACCATGGAAACGAGTCTGGTGACATACTATTTTTAACTCAAATTTTTATAGAGGCCATTGCATAGTATATGTATGCAAATTTTAAGAAAAATTCAATGGTGAAAAAAAAATTGCTATATCTGTAGGGATCCACCTTAAATTGACAATCAATCAATAATCAGTTTCAGATTGACAATTTACAGTGTAGACAAATAATTAAAATTGGTATGATAACAGATAAAGATATTTGACTTGCCAACTGTTATGTTGGTAATCTGATATATGGTTAATACTTTTTATATTACTAATGACTGAATTAGACTTTTACCATCAGAAAATATAAAAACAACAAGATCTGACATGAATGTCAATGAGGCAACTATTCGACTAAAACTTAATGGCGTGGACGTAAACAACTATAGGCAACCGTACAGCCTTCAACATTGAACATAGTCCATACAGTATAATAGCAATAAAAAGGCCCTGGAAACAATCCAAACAAAAAAACAAGGCCATATTTAAGTATACATCAATTTAAACGTAAAACAAATATAAAAGACTGCGACAAACACCAAGTTTGTGAGAACTAAGCCCTCCCGTAACCGGAGACAGGGGTTAACAACACAAAATAAAACAAAGTTGAGGTATGTTTGACTCATCAGATCGACAAAAATCACAATAAACAACCAGCAAATAGTCTAAAGACACCAAGTACCCATCTCAGAGTACTCGCAGTTACTGAAAGCTAGTTCACAGCCAATTAAAACTAGTAAATAAATCATGTTACCCAGACAAACACTTTTTAAACTGAAGTGCAGTTAAGACGCCCCAAGTATTCGTCAATACTGCATTAAAACTGGTATCCTGTATCATTTTGTTTTGTTTGTTTGTTTTTGTTTTTGTTTTTGTTTTTGTTTTTGTTTTTGTTTTGTCTTTGTTTTTGTTTTGTGTTATTTTTGTTTTTTTGTTTTTGCTTTTGTTTTGTTTTATTGCATATCATGTGCATGGTGTTTGACAACAATTGTTATCCCAAATCATTAATGACTGCTTACAAAAACGAATATTCTCTAATATATGTATATACATACTATTTCATGTATAACTGTTCACAGTATTTAACCCAATTTCGTTGTTTCTCTTTCAGATAACAAAATCGTATTATTTAGCAGTTTTACAGTCTGAGATATACGCTACTATTAAATCTAAAATACAAAATCAATAAAATCAATTTATCAATTAGCTATAATGCAGACTACTATTTGAACTTGTCTTGACCTCTGTAATGATATATTTAAGAAAACCATTAACCCAGACGATTGTAAATTTGTATCAACAATTTTCAGACCATAATTTTCAAGATCTACCCCGCTTAAATGACGGCGAGACCCCCTGGTCTTTAATGTCCATAATAAATTGAATGATCTTTTAGACTATGTATAAATAAAGATCGTATCAAAAGGATTTCCCAGAATAATGTCATCTTCGATATCTACGGAGGGCTTAAATTGTCACTTTACAGCTACAAATCGTCTAAAATTCAGGTAAAAGGGCACAGGGCGATGGCTATACCTCCTTGATCTCTCACTACATCTTTATAGTCGAGGTGGTGAATTCGAACTCCGTAAACGTTCGTTCATGGCGCGTTTTTAAATTTTAAATTAACAAGGATTGTCAGTTTTCCTGCTGAGATCGATAGTTCCTCCGCCAATGATTCTGACCGCTATGATATAGCTAAAGTGCTGAGCTTGGCGTTAAACAGCCACATAGAAACAAACATATTAACGCTTAATCATTTAGTTTAAGAGCATTTGCCACTGGTTTTTTTGGAAAGGCTGACATTTATGCAAATAAATTGTAGAAAACCTATGAAACAAAACACGAAGAAATTTCAAAAACCTATGAAACAAAACACGAAGAAAACTCAAAAACCTATGAAACAAAACACGAAGAAAACTCAAAAACCTATGAAACAAAACACGAAGAAAACTCAAAAGAGTACAGCTTCATATTGATGTACAATTATCATTGTAATGTTCACGTGTAAGACGAAATAAAAAGCATTGATTTTGCTGCATTTGCTATTCCTTTTATTTACTTTGAATATAAAATCAACAACAAAAGTTGACGGAGGGGGTAATAATATGTATAAATACATCACATATGATATAACCAAAAGGGCCTTTCGGGAGTAAAGTTGATCGACAGGTTGTAGGCATTTATATGGGCACCATTTGAATCCTTTTAACATGTTAAATAAAAGTCTTGTTCCTGTACTTAATGCCAGGAGGAATTTTTTTGAAAATAATTATCCTGGCCTGGTAAAAATTTAAAATAAATAACCTTGCCATAAACAGAATGAAAATAAATAGTTTACTCCAAAAACATGCAGGATATGAATATGTACAAAATTTAAAAAAAAAATTTATGTATAAGTTGTAATAAATTGGGCTTTAAACTAGCTATTAGTAACTGTGACAACTTTTAGATTTGTACTTAGGCGCTACGACGGACGAGTGGTTTTATAAAAATACGAAGATGTGGTATAATTGCTAATGAAACAACTCTCCACAAGAGACCAAATGACGAAGAAGTTAACAACTATAGGTCACCGTATGGCATTCAACAATGAGCGAAACCCTTTCAGCATAGTAAGATATAAAAGGCCCCGAAATGACAAATGTAAAATAAAAAAAGGAGAAAACTAACAGCCTGATTTATGTACAAAACAATAAGCAAAAACAAATATGATATACAGCAACAAACGATAACCACTGCATTACAGGCTCCTGACTTGACTTGGGACTGGCACACACAGATTGTAGCGCCAAAACTCCCCCTAACCTGGGTAGATGGTGAAACAATTCAACAGAAGAATAAACTACTAATATGAAAATCAGTTGAAGAGGCTTTAACTCATCAGATTGATACAAAGCACAGAACAATCCTAACAAAAGCTCAAAAGACACAGATTAGAGATCTGAGAGTTCTCGCAGTTACTGGAAGCTTGTTCAAAGCCAATACCAACCAATAAAAAATCATGTATGCGTTCGACTCCTATCCTAATTGACGAGGATTGCTAGTTTTCCTAATGAAGGTAGTTGGTTCTCTTCGAGAACTGTGGCTTCCTCCACCAGTAATATATGGACTCCTGTTGTACTGTTACACACTGTCCCAGGTCAGGAACAATGTTAAGAGTTCGCTTACATGTCTTATCCTGTCATTTTCTTTATGATCTTGTCCCATGTCAGGTGCCTGTAATTCACTGGTTGTCTTTAGTTGCTGTCATGGATATTTGATTTTTGGTTATTGCTTTTTCTCATAAATCTGGACGTTGGTTTTGTTTGTTAGATTTTATTTAACATTTGTCATATTAGGGCCCTTATATCTGACTTTTGCTCATTGTTAAAGGCCGCAAATTGACCTTTAGTTGCTTAAATCCTCTTCATATGGATCCTTTAAAATAGCTGTCTTATTGGCAGTATTACCAAATCTCCTTATTTCATAATAAATGAAAAATCGTCTCTTCTTATTTTGCTGAGCGTTGTCATAGTCGTTTTCGTAGAAATAACAGTTAATTGCATATTAAGAGTTTATCATGATATTTTTAAAACATTTTGTTTAATTACACAAAATTGAATTCTGAGTTGATAAACAAAATATTGATGAAATGTAAAGCAAAAGAAGCATTAATGAATGAAGATAAGTCAAAATACAATGTACCAATCTGTGAATTTTGATTCTTTTATCTGGAACAATCGCCAACAAATTATAAAATCGCATCAGGGATGCCAAGCTAATAATTTGGTACGCCATAAGCGTGTTTTGACAACAGAAGACTTATCAGTGACACTCAAATCAAAACAGTTAGAATGCCAATTCAAATACGAAGTAGGACATTGCTATCCAAATATAACGAAAAGATCTGCTACAAACGGTTAACGATTTTTATCCATGGGTAGACAACGTAAGTGTTTCAAATTATGCAACGAACCTAAACAGTGGGAAGTGCATTGAAAACCAATTATAATGAAAAGTTGTTCCAAATGCAGCTTCGGATATCTATGAATGGGGGTGAAGAAACATTTTACAAAATAATGAAAAAAAACCCCGATACGTCGATATTTAAATGTTGGTAAACGTAATGCGTTAAACAAACGCATAAACCATAAACTGTAACTTGTAATAGAAATTGCAAAATCAAAATCTCAAAAGAATTCAAGTAACTTTTTCGTTATATTTGTACAAAGTTTAAAAACTAAATGTAATTAAAATATTGATGTTTATTTAAAGAATTATCAACGAACATACATTCTGCGTTACAATTGAAATGAATATACGTCCAATCGTCGTTCAAACGACTCTAAATGGAAACATCGATCGTCATTTATGTAAACATTAAAGGTCAACCCAAACTTAAATTTACTTTTTTACGAAAGATGCAAACAGTTGTATTATTCTTAACACAAAGAAATAAGTTGCAACATTATTAACCAATGTTAAATTATCATTACTGTTTACTAACACATATATTGACAAAGGGAATTGCATGAAATCGCATGAAACAAAACGGACCGAGAATTGGTGCGTCGACAGGAAAAATATCTCCTGCTATGCATTCATTTCTAGTCATGCGCATCCAGACTCAGTCAAAATGTCACGATAGGGAATAGGAAGGACACAATCGGTTTATTTACAGATCACACGACTAATCTTGACCTTCAGATCTTTGACCGGGAACATCAATGCTGTTTGACCCAGATGAAAGGCGGAGATTTCAGGTAACAGTGGTAAATGCGGGAATATTTTGATAGCGGTAGAAAGTGAGCAAGGGTTTTAACGTATAGAAAGCATGGCACTCTCCTTATATGTGATGTCGGATTTAAAGTTCTAATTCCTACCATACGTGGCTACAAATCTATGCATTCCGCATAGTCTATTAGATGATCTTTATTAATTATAACGCTTGCACAGTCTTACATTCTACATAAGAAAATGCCTGTACCAAGTCAGGAATATGACAGTTGTTATCAATTCGTTCAATGTGTTTGAGCTTTTGATTTTGCCATTTGATTAGGGACTTTCCTTTTTGAATTTTCCTCGGAGTTCAGTATTTTTGTGATTTTACTTTTTTGTATGTAGTGTTTTTCTATACTTTATTTGTAATTCGTTGTTTTTCGTTTTTTGCCGTGGTGTGAACTGTTTTTTTCGACTTATAATTTTTAATTTTTCTTAAGTACTATCGTTCTTTTTTTTATTAGCACTGAGGTTTCTACTGCATAGAGGAAGACCAATGATGACCATATTTATATATTAGTACCTAAACCACCCCTTTTGGTAAAGGTATTGTTTACATGTTCTATGTACTCCTGTTGACTGTCATCTGGTTAGCAAGCAAGTTAAAACTCTGGTTTGACTGGTACAAAGGAGGGTATATTTTTATATCATAATAATTTTATTGACTGAATATACATGCATATACATGTATTATTCAATACTTGACAATAAACATTAATTAGTTATTCAAGTATTCAATCGTTACTCAAGTAACATTTTTTTCCGATATATTAAGAAACACAATAGACGTATATACACATTGCGTTTTTTTGCCTTCTTCTAGTCCATTAAAACTTGTTTACTCAGTCTCGCGATTTTATACGATTCCCTGAACTTTTGTTTGTTGCCTTGACTATTCTCTGATTGATTTACGAGATTTGAACATTGAAAACTACTGTTGTCTCAATTTACTAGTTCTACATTTATTAATACTGTTTTTATTAATATATATACTTTACTTTGTAACTAAAATCCTTTTAACAATACGAATAACAAAAAATTGAAGCAAACACAAAACATAATGGCGCTTTTGATTCATGACAGTACTTCTTCGAATATGAAAACTTGATATCGATATCTTTTACTATATTATTGTCTTTATGACATAATCACTGAAGTAATATAAAAAAAACAGATGTTGTGTTGTAAACACTTAAATAAATTCCTTTTGTGATTTTGTTAATGCACAAAAAAACCCAACTCCGAATGATGTCAAATACAAAATCCGTTTTGTTTTTTAATGGATACCTTTTAAACTACCATGCTAAATCTAAATGCATTTAACCTTTAGTTACATGGAAATGTCGTCATCATGGTTTATCTAATCAATATAGTCTTGACAATTGTTAAAATATCTCGAATGTGATATTTTTCATTCGGATACACATGTGAAATTGCCAATTATCCAAGTGCCCATTTCGCACTGCAAAGTAGATAGTCCAGTAATTTTAAATCCATCGTCACAACGATAATTTACGATAATGTCATTTTGCGTCTTCTCTACAAGAACTGTTGCATTAGGTCTTGAAGGAGGAAATCCACATTCTGCAAGTGAAAACATTAGAACTGTTTGAAAAAAACAACCATAATTAACTAATGAAGTTCGAATATTCTTTTGCTTTTAAAAGGGCATTAGCTGTTAAATTCATGTTCTCTGATTTGACTCAAATTCTCATATTTGATTTATAACATACTAAAACGTATATCCAAATTATAAAAAAGTATAAAATAAAATTTACAATGCATGAACTATATAATATGTATTAGCATTTCGTATTTATTTTAGCATAGACGCCATCTAATTAACCATCTAAGTGACCTCCAAAGACTACAGACGGTCATATAACCCGATGTTAACATAAATATAAATATAAATAGATAGCGAACACGTACAACTAGGATTTTGTCAAGGTCTGTTTAATTTCATATCATAGGTTTAACAAATATGTTAATCATCGTTTTTACTTGTATAAGAATGAGTTTTTGTGGATCGAAATTGTAAAACCTAGTTTCACTTTCAATGTGAACATTCTTTTCCTTTTAATAGCTAAACACGCCTTGTGCATGCGTAACCCATCTTCAGCTAAGGGGTTAAATTGGAGGTTACATGAATACGGATTCACTTACAAGCGAATCATTCATCAGCGATGTTTTTTAGATTATTTTGACAAAATTGAACCAAACTGGCTGCTAAAAGTCAATTATTTTTTCACTATTTCACTTTCATTTATGTTCGAAAAAAAATGTTTTTTAATTTTTGTATATCTTGTAGCTAATGCCCCTTTAAGACTTATGCAAAAAACAGCCGTATTTAAAATGATCAAGCGACTCTGTGACTGTAAGGTACGTTTTGACTAATGAAACGGCAAAAAACGGGGGTAGGTAAAATGTACATTCAAGTACATATACCCTGTCGACCGTTGAAATATAAACACAATTAATCTTATAAAAAAGAGAAAACATAAAAAAATATAGATTGGATACAATGTCCATGTCAGAAAATGGCCAAATACCAATTAAATATGGACTGTTTGCAAAATTAGATATTCAATTTGTTAATACTTTGTGAAGACAAACCGTGCGAAAGGTTTTCATGAATTCGCTTTGAAAATTGGGGGCAGTTTTTTAAAGTTCATTTTACTCCTGCACTAACATCTGATATTTTTGAAGGAAAGTCGTTAAAATATATATTTATATGTCTATGTTTGTCAAAACAGACTTCATGTGAAGTAATTAAGAAATCCATTTTAAAATGTTGTATAATCTGCCATAGTTATAACTCCTTTGTAGGATTTTGGTTTTCATTTTCTAGTCATTACAATAAGTACAATTAAATATTATACGAAAAGGAAATATAATGTTAATAATTTGTAGGGCCTGCATTTACTCGAAAGACATTAATTATTATTGTTTTCATTCAATCTCGCAAATATAACTAATTTAATTGTGTATTCTATCGAAAAACAAGGTACGTATATACATTTATACGTTTATATGTCAAAGTATGGGACATTTCTTTTTTAATGTTTTAAAAAAAAATAACAAATCATAGCTTTTGATTGACAGATATGTCACAACACTTCATTTTTTCAAAAGGAAAAATGGTATTCATCAGTGTATAGTTTGCATAGAGCTTTGATAGATTTAAAAAAAATAGAAAATACCTTTATCAAAACAAAAGACAATATGAGGTTTATAATTCATAGTGCCTGCATTTAATCTAAAGATAAAAAAAAAATTTCAATCTCGCAAATATAACTAATTCAATTGTGTATCTTATCAAAACCAGAAAGTATTTACAGTTATACATTTATATGTAAAAGAATGGAATATTTTAATTTAGAAAAGAACTAATCATAATTTTGAATGAAAAATATCTCACAAAACTTCATTTTTTAAAGAAGAAACCCTATTTTCATCAGTCAAGAGTTTGCACAACGCGTTGTTAATTTTTTTTAATCGATAATACATTCATCAAAACGGATAAAACGACATAACTGAATAATTTACTTATGTATGTGAAGAAGTATTTAAAAAACTAGTAAATTGATGTCGACATTATCATCTTGTGGTTTCATCTGAATGAAATGTAGAAAAAGAGTGGTTGGTGCCAACCATTTTTGTTTTAATCGACAACCCTCCGATAGAAAATGGTTGCACTAATGATAAACTTGTAAGCTTCTTTATATATAGCGGGTTTTTTTTCGTTGGTCTGTATTTTGTCCTTTTGCTTTTGAGTATAGATGACTTACTTTTTTCATTTTTCTAACCGATGCAGACAACATACCTGAGCAAATGAAGGTTGGTAAGGTCCATTTATTATTATCACATGCTGTATATTCGAACCCAATCTGCGTTAGTCCAGAGATACAACTGTATCTGACAACGGGATCGCCGGCAATAACTTCAACTTCTATTGTAGTATTCTGTATATATGGTGGATATGTACAAGCTTAAATTGAATAAAATATTGATATATATTAGATACTCTCGCTATGTAGAAAAATGTCAAAATACCAATCAAAAGATGCATGTCGACAAAATTATACATTTTTGATATATTGTAATGACAAACGGTACGAACATTTTCATGTATTTGCTTTGAAAATAGGGGGCAATTTTTTAAAAGTTCATTTTACTCCTAGACCTACATCTGACATTCTTTAATAATAATCCTTAAATATATATATTAAAGATGTTTATTTGTGTCCTATGTAAACTACTATTGTCAAAACACAATTCATGTCACACAATTAAAAACTACACGTGAAAATGTAGTATCATCTGCGATAGTCATAACACTTCGTAGGGTTTATTCTCTCTTTCTATTCATCACGATCAGTGCAATAAAGTATTAAAAGAAAAGAAGATATGAGGTTAACAATTTTTAGTGCCTGTATATACTCTAAAGACATTAATTATTTTTGTTTACTCAATCTCGCTAATATAACAAATTTAATTGTGCATTTTATCAAAAACCAGGGTACTAATACATAATTATATACATTTATACGTTTATGGTACCTTTTATAACTAATTATACTTTCTTAAACGATTCAGACAACATACCAGAGCAAATAAATGTTGGTAATGCCCATGTGTTATTATCACATGCTGTGTATTGGAATCCAATCTGTGTTAGTCCAGAGATACAACTGTATTTGACAACGGAATCGCCGGCAATAACTTCAACTTCTATCGTAGTATTCTGTATATATGGCGGATATGTACAAGCTTAAATTGAATGAAATATTTATAAAGATTGGATATTATGGCAATGTCGAAACATGTTAAAATACCAATTAAATAAAAACTGTTAACAACATAAAGCATTGTTATAACATTGTGAACACAAAAAGGTTCGAACGTATTCATGAATTTGCTTTCAAATCGCAAAGTAGGGGAAGTTATTTTAAATATAAAAATAAGGAGATGAGGTATGATTACCTATGTGACATCTATCCACCGAAGTTCAAATAAAGTGGATGTAAGCAATTATAAGCAATCGTACGGTTAAAGTTCATTTTACACCTGGGCATCTGCCATTTTTGAAGGTGAGTTTAAATATATATTTTTTTAGGTGTTTATTTTAGACCCGCTGTAAGTAATTGTTTTTAAAACTGAGTTCAAGCGACACATTTTAGAAGAACAGTTGAAATCTAAGTATCATCTGCCATAGTTACAATTTGTAAGTAGGGTTTTGGTTTCCTTTAGTAGTCAGCAAAATAATACAAATTTAGTATTAAATTGATAAATTATAATGATATATAAATACGTTCATAATGTGCATTTCTATGCCGGGATACTGTTGACGAAAATATCAGGTTTATTTCAATGGCCGGCATTTATCATGAAAACTTTAATTATTCCTGTTTTACTTAATCTCACAAATATAATGAATTCAATTGTGTTTTATATCAAACATTACCATACATTTATACGTGAATATGCCAAAGTATGGGACATTTAAATCCCCATAATAATGATTTCTTTTGATTGAAAGTTATTTCAAAGCACTTCGTTTCTATTGTTTAAAGTAAACACATATTCATCAGTCAAGAGTTTACATAATGCGTTGTTTAATTATCTTTTTATCGACATCTATACCTTAATCAAAACAAACAAACTGACATCACTGAGAACATTTCTTTGAATATGTGATTAAGTATTTAAAAACAATTTCTTAATTGATGTCGACATGATCATCTTTCAGTTTCCATGTAATGCAATAACAAAACGACAGCTGAAGAAATTAGAATCTTGATGCTAAAACAGAGTTCGGACAGAAAATGTGTTTACTTATCATTAGTGTTTAAGCTTCGCTTGATATGTTTAGTATATTTCGGGTATGTCGGCATACTGAACATCTACAATTCAGTATATGAGTCTTGTTTTTTTTCCACTTTTGAATATATATATATATATACCATCTTTTCCGCAAGTTTATTGTTTTCTGTTTGATATTAAATTAATATTTAAGATCCATTTTGTTACAGCTGGTGATCATTTTATTTGGCAATCGCCAAAGGCAGTCAGCAGGGTTTAAGAACATCCGTTGTTCGACCTGCTAGTCAAATGCGTTTTGTTAAAATATACTTTGTCACTTATTTGGTCTTTTGGAAAACGTTGTTTGTGCTGTATTTAGACCCCTTTACCAACAAATTTCTTTTGCATGCACACGTATAAAAATTGCGGTTTTTATCCAACACAATCATAGGTTTGAACGTTGTTTTCAATTTAGACTTGTTTATAATTTTTCGTTTGGGCTTGTATTATATTTGCCTTCGGGTTTATATGATCCGTTCATTCTATTTTGACTCCTCAAAATTCAAGAGTCTATCCTAAATTGAGGTAAATTGTATGGCTTTCCAAATACCGTTTCGATTCCTAACATCACTGAAGAGACATTAATTGTCGAAATCCGGATATGGTGTACAAAACATTTGCACCTTTTGTTTGCGGTATACCATCTTTTCCGCAAGTTTATTGTTTTCTGTTTAGTATTAAATTTATAATTAAGATCCATTTATTACATCGGTGATCCGTTTTTTTGGCAATCGCCAATGGCAGTCAGCAGGGTTGTTTAAGAACATTTGTTGTTCGACCTGTTAGTCAAATGCGTTTTGTTAAAATATACTTTTTTCACTTTTTTGGTCTTTTGGAAAATGTTGTTTGTGCTGTATTTAGACCCCTTTAACAAGAAATTTCTTTTGCATGCACACGTATAAAAATTGCAGTTTTTATCCAACACAATCATAGGTTTGAACGTTGTTTTCAATTTAGACTTGTTTATATTTTTTTCGTTTGGGCTTGTATTATATTTGCCTTCGGGTTTATATGATCCGTTCATTCTATTTTGACTCCTCAAAATTCAAGAGTCTATCCTAAATTGAGGTAAATTGTATGGCTTTCCAAATACCGATTCGATTCCTAACATCACTGAAGAGACATTAATTATCGAAATCCGGATATGGTGTACAAAAACATTAATTTTGCACCTTTTGTATGCGGTATACCATCTTTTCCGCAAGTTTATTGTTTTCTGTTTAGTATTAAATTTATAATTAAGATCCATTTATTACATCGGTGATCCGTTTATTTGGCAATCGCCAATGGCAGTCAGCAGGGTTTAAGAACATTTGTTGTTCGACCTGTTAGTCAAATGCGTTTTGTTAAAATATACTTTTTCACTTTTTTGGTCTTTTGGAAAATGTTGTTTGTGCTGTATTAAGACCCCTTTAACAAGAAATTTGTTTTGCATGCACACGTATAAAAATTGCGGGTTTTATCCAACGCATTCATAGGTTTGAACGTTGTTTTCAATTTAGACTTTTTTATATATATATATATGTATTGACAACATACCAGAGCAAATGAATGATGGTAAGGTCCATGTATTATTTTCACATATTGTGTATTCGATCCCAATCTGTGTAAACCCAGATAAACAACTGTATTTGACAACAGGAACGCCGGCAACAACTTCAACTTCTATTGTTGTATTCTCTGTATGTGGTGGATATGGACAAGCTTAAATTAATAAAATATCTATATATATTAGACACTATGCAATGTAGGAAAATGCAAAAACACCTATTATATGAGGGCTGTTGACAAAATTATACATTGTTGATAAATTGTATTGACAAACGGTTCAACAGTTGTCAAGAATTTGATTTAACAAATTTGGGAAGTTATTTTAAAGTTAATTTTACTCTTGGACCCACATCTGAATTTTGTACTGAAAGTAGTTGAGATATATATAATAGAGATGTACATCTGTGCTCAGTGTTAATCAATTTTGTTAAAACACAGTTCATTTGACACAATTAGGACAAATATTTGAAAATTTAGTATGAACTGTCATAATTCCATCGCAGAGTATAAATTTCCTTTTTCTTGTCATCAAAATTGATATAATTCAGTATTATAAGTAAAGATATATAATTACGCGTACAATGTGTATTCCTATTCCGACATACATTTGAAGAGAATATGAAGTTAAACATTTGATGTGACTGTATTCACTCTGAAAACATTCTTCATTGGAATTTCCCTTTTTCACGCAATTTTATTATTTCAATTGTATACTTAATCGAAAACCAGGGTACGTTTATACATTATACGTTAATATGCAAAGGCATGGGACATTTCTTTTTTTTTAAAAGAAATCATTATAGCTTTTGATTAAAAGATATTACAAAAGACTTTGTTGTTTTTGTTAAAATAAAATCCTGGTCATCAGTCACGAGTTCGCTCAACACGTTGTATATGTCTTTTTTAATTATTTTTTTTTAATCGAAAATACCTTTATAAAAAGAAACCAAATGGCATGACTGAATATTTTTGCATGTATAGGTTATACCGAAATGAATAAAATCTATCATCTGATGGCGACATGGTCATCTGCAATTGAACTAGATGAATTTTAAAAGACACTATAGGAAAATTGATTGTTGATGTTCAAAATAATTTTTAATCGATATACATCAGATAGAACTATGTTTTATAACTATTAACTCGTCAGCTTCGTTTGATATATGTAGTGTTTTTGGGGTTTGTCGGTAATTTTGTTTGCCTACATTTGAGTCCTTGTATTTCCACTTTTTAATACAAACAGACAACATACCAGAGCAAACGAATGCTGGTGACGTCCATGTGTCATTTTCACATACTGTGTATTCGATCCCAATCTGTGTTAGCCCAGATAAACAACTGTATTTGACAACAGGATCGCCGGCAACAACTTCAACTTCTATTGTTGTATTCTGTATATATGGCGGATATGAACAATCTTTAATCGAATGAAATATGACTATAGATTAAATACGCTCTCCTATCTTAAAAATTCTACAATTCAAATTTAAGTAGGACTTACGAAGAAAATACATATTGTTGTCTCGTTTTCTTGAAAAATGAAACCAAGTTCTTGTCTTCATAAATTTTTTTTTTGATTATTGAGGATGTTATTTTGAAGACTATTTTACTCTTAGACCTGCATCTAACATTATTGGAAGAGAGTCGTTCAAATGTATATCTTTGAGATGTTTATTTTCATCCAAAGTTAAATAGTTAAGTTTGAAAACTGTTTAATAGACGCAATATAGAATACAAAAAGTTTTTTTATAACATTCTATAAAATTTATGTGTCCGACGTATCATCTGTAAAAAATACAAATAATTAGTATGTTATGGATTTCCTTTTTCTCGGCATCACAATTGATACAATTTAGTATTATGAGAATGCAGTATAGCTACGTTCAGTAAATGTATTAAAAAATATAATAACGTTCATATTTTATACATATCGTTTTCTCGTTTGCAGTTGTTTTTTACTTGTTTCGTTGATCAATAGCATTTGATTTTGTCCGTTTTCAACTTCCCCTTATTGAATTTGCCTAAGAGTTCAGTAATTTTGTTATATTTTTTTATCGACATACTTTTGAAAAAATAATGCAGTGAATCATTTGCGGTGTCTCATTTACTTTGAACACATTTCAAAAAATCCTTTCTTCGCCCAATCTCGCTATGTTTATTTATTCAAGTGTGCATTTTTAGAAATTGGTATACATTTTGACTAATGTTAAACATACAAGTCTTTAAGGTGGTACCAAACACCTTGACTAAAATTAATGTGGCACGTTTAATTTTCATAAAATTTTGACAAAAATATTAACTTTGACCCTTTGACAAATATTTAATTTAAAAAAACTTGAACCACACACTTTATCGGAAAAACTTCATTGGATATATAGCAGTTTGACAAACACTAATTTTGAGAATTTTCAGAAGCTTAATATTTCCTTAACAATAGAACGTGATTAAAACGTTCAGCTGATTATCTCCCTTTAGTGGTGTGTACCAACTTAAAGAGTTTTTGATTAAATTATTGCGTATAATTGCACAATTATATAAAAAATAAATAACAACAGTACCTTTTTTTATTAACATGTTATATATTGACGACTTTTATTTCGTGTTTTTCCTCTTAATTACAGTAACGATAACTATTACTCATATCAGTAAAAAAAATATCATACCACTGCATTTGAACAAAGGTGTCGTCCAATTGTTTGAAGAGAGGCAAATAATGCTGCTATTCCCAATTAAATGTGATCCTTCTTCACAATTATAATAGAATATTGTATTGTTTGTATCAATCAAAAATTCTAAAGTCGCATTTAATACGTTCGGTGGATTGGAACATCCTGAAATTTTGAAATATATGTATATATTTTTGGGATTATACACAAAAGCTTCGATATATATAATCATTATAACATTTATTTTATTGATATTGTGTGACTGAATAATTTGCAAGCCTATGATGTATAAGTATTTGAACTCGAAGTTGAATATATTGCGTTGCATAAAGATATAGCTTTTATTCCGTTTATCAGATATTTTTCCATTGTCGTCTTTAACGCCCATTTTGTACTTATCACAAGCAACACGACGGGTTCCACACATGGAATTGAATCTGCTGAACCTACTTAAGTACCTCAGATCATATCCGGTTTATGGTAGGGTTCGTGTTGCTCAGTAAATTTAAAATTTCTATGCAGTGTTTGTGGGTTTTCGGTTCACCGGTCTTTTTTATTTCCTTGAATTATCATTTGTGATTGTCCCTTTTAGTATATACTGCCTCTTTCTAAAAGTTATCAATTCAAATAATACAATCACCAATACAAATAATATTCCTCAGATCAATTATGGAGCAGGATCTGCTTACCCTTCCGAAGCACACGAGCTCACCCCCAGGTTTTGTTTTGGTTTGTGTTGCTTATTCTCTAATTTTCTATGTTGTGTTTTGTATTCTGGTGTTTGTCTTTTGATGTTTTTCATTTATTGCCATGGCGTTGTCAATTTATTTTTGACTAATGAGTTTGAATGTCTCATTGTCATCTTTCATCTCTCTTTAAAACTATATATAAGAACGAAATTATGATACCATTACGGATTCCTTTTTAATGAACATTTGTACTGATGTAATTAATTTGAAGTTATACTTTTGTTTTGAGGTTTAAACATTGCTATCAAATGAAATAAGTTGAATCTATCTTATAATTCAAAATGCCATAACACTTTATTGGTATATACATATAGATATATCTACCTGTGCAAACAAACGTGGGTGAAGACCAGGATAAATTTGCTTGACATGAAATAGTTTCCGAACCAAGTAAATAATAACCATCGTTACACATATACGTCAAATCTACGTCATCGTGACGAATATCCTTTATATTTAAAGCAGCATTCATTATATTTGGTGGATCAGGACAGTCTGAAAAAGATATTAACGATTCTTTGAAAATGGTTTATAAAAATAGAGTTCATTTGGTATATATTACCTTTGTTTAAAATTACTTCGTTCATATATAGTTCGGTGTAATGTTTTTCAGGGTTTTCATCACCAATGATAATGCAATACACATAACTTGAGAAATTCGTGATAATAGATGAGTTTGTTATTCTCAAAAAGCCAAGATTATCCACATGTCAAAAGTAACCATACTACACAATGCATTCAGTTTAAGCAGATACTTTTAACTCAGCTCTCCTTTTTGGTGTATTATCCCATTGAATTACCCACATAATTTTCTATATTTGCCTTTAAAGTTTTAATTGTAACATTGTGTTTTTAGAGTTTTATATTTTGTATGTTTCATAATTATCGAATAAACGATATATATTTAAATGTTTGAAATACAAATGATTTTTACCCCCATGAACAGAATACCTAAATGCTCTTTCACGTCGTACTTTATTTGGCCCTTAGTTTTTTTTTTTCGAGCGTCACTGAGGAGACCTTTGTAGACAAAACGCGCTTCTGGCGTACAATATTAAAAGCCTTACACATTTGTTGATTTTTTATTTGTATGATCTTGACTTTGTGAAAATATAGCTTTTTAACATTTACTATTTGTTAAGATGTGATATTATTTATCAGGTATGTATCTTTGAGATTATCAAATAACTGTCGTATCTTAAATATACAGTGAATTGATTCGACCATTTTTTTAAGTAAAAACCTGGTTTCTTTGAAGAAGATTTACACATTTTTGAAACGTAGACATCCAAAATTTATTTTTTTACATGCATCACTTACCTGTACATTTTAAATTAAGATCTGTCCAGCTACCATTTAATTGACATTCTATTACATCGTTTCCAATTAAGTTGAAACCATCAACACATCTATATCTGGCAACATGATTGTTGTCAAACATTTCGAATGTGTAGGTACCATTTTCAACAACAGGAGGTTCAACACATGCTTTAAAACAACAACAGATATATTGAATTAAATTTATATGAAACGTGTGAAGGACTAACTTTGTTTACTATGTCGGTCAAATCATAGAACTATTATAACTAAGCGCATTTAAATACGATATAAACGTAATATCGTACTGATGTACGACTAAATTTCAAAATGAAGCACTTAATATGTTTAAATATGTATGTAGTTATTGTTTTTGCAGTGCTGGTTTCCTTAAATTTCAATAACAGATGTGTAATTTAATTGAAGATGCTACCAGATGAAACAAAAACAAATCTGTTTTCCATATGAAGAAATACAAATGTATGTAATTTGAACAAACGAAAAATAAACTCCAAAAACTTTTTAAAAAATCCTCTAATTTTGGAGTCCCTTATTATCCTGTAGTTCATAAGGATTCGCAAACATTTTCACTAAAATGAGTTTGACATTAAAGTATTTGTATTGCCTATCGTACACACACCAAAATGTATTACAATGTATAAATGTATGCATAATTTCCAACAAATATTGACATCAGTGTTACACTTATCTTATCAAAACTTCTTTTCCTATGCAGCGGTAGAAACAATGGTTGAAAAATGAAAGATTTACGAAGCCTTGGTGTAAAATTATGTTTAAAGGTTGTTTTAAGTGCAATGTTTTCTTATTTATTTGAAAAGAGTGCAGCCAAAAACAATAACAAAAAAAAGATTAAAGACGAAGACATAATTATTACCTTATAGTTTTTAGACTGTACCACATTGTGCTTGCCATGTTTGCCAAAATATATGTTTGCAATACCAGGAATTTGGTCATTGTTTAAATTGTATAGCGTAATATCTGATATGTATCTTACCAATGCATATGAACGATGGGTATGTCCAGTTTCCATCAGACTGGCATTCTATATTTTCATTTCCAATCAAATTCAATTCGGAATCGCATTCATACACTACAATGTTCTCACCGGGCATAACCTTAAAGCTGGCATTTTGAACTGCGGGTGGCTCTGTACATTCTGGAAATAAACCTTATTTAATAAATTTAAGTTCCATAAACACTATTCTACATCTCTCTCTATCCTTATGTTTTAATTATACAAACTCTTCAGAGTCTCCAGGGTTAAAATCTGGTACCTCAAACGTGCCTTTTATGTATACAAGACCAGTCAGTGGCGCTCAAATCAAATCAGTGGAAAGGCCAAATCAAATACGAAGTTAAAAAGTAAAACTAACCGAGATTCCCGAAATATTTGACCAATATGGATCAGGATATCTATGACTGGCAGTAGCAATGCATTGCTGGTTCTAATAAACAATATTTTTTAACAGTACATTAACAGACGAAATAATGTATAAATGGTATTTAAAGTAATATGTGTTCTAGCAAACAGTTCTAATTCAGGCAAACATTACAAAAGCAAACAATTGTGTTGTTTCATTCAATATAATGAAGTTATGTGCCTAGTCAGGGACCAGCAATTTGGTGGTTGTCGTCGAATGCTATCTTTTATATTTGTTCCTCGTTTATTGTTTTTTCATAAATCAGGCCGTCGGTTATTTTGTTTGAATTGTTTCATATTTCATTATGTGTGGGCATGGGTTTTGATCATTATTGAAGGCCGTATGTTGACCCATCGATGCTTAAATCCCCGTCGTTTTGGCTTTTAAAATGATTAATCACCTAAATCCATTGGATGTTGGATGTATACTGATTGATATTTTAGTCTTTGATGTATGATTTTTTTTATTAGTTTTTATTGGCTCTAGGTTGCACTTCTGTAAATATAGACAATGCAATCCATTGGATGTTGGATGTGTACTGATTGATATTTGAGTCTTTGATGTATTATTAGTTGTTTTGGCTTTAGGTTGCACTCCTTTTACGGCTAAAACTGTTCCACTTTAATTATGAGGTTTCGTAAAAAATTATATCCTAGAATTGACAGTTTGTATGCACTATTTTTTCAAAGGTCAAAATATAGGACTGTGCGGCATGTTTTCCTCATTTATATTCCTCAAACTTCTAAGAGTTTAAACTTATACTAAAATTGTCTACTACCCCTCCCTTCACTTTGGGTCTTCATCAGAATTCAATTTATCCGCTATCCTTGGGTATTTATACTAGTAATAATCTCAAGTTATGTCTCTTCGAGATGAAGCATAAAGATCATATCTGGTAACCAGAAGGCGAACAAAACAAAATATCTATGAATATTAAATTTCTCCCTAAAAGAGGCGTGGTTTGTGAAACAGCTGTATTTTCAAAGTCCAACCTATAAACTAGCTATCAGCAGCTGCGAGTACTCTCAGATCTGTACTTAGTGTCTTTTTTGTTGTGGGGAAGTATAAATACCCTGCCACGTTCTGTCTGAGTTTTGTTAGATGTATTTATGCTTTGTACCGATCTGATAAGTTAAGCCATTTTCAACTGATTTTTATAGTTTGTACTTATGTTGTACTGTTACATCACTCTCCCAGATTAGGGGCAACCCCGTCACATTGTGAATATGCCTGTCCCAAGTCAGGAGCCTGTAATTCAGTTGTTGTCGTTTATTGCTCTACTACATATTTGTTTTTTGTTCATTGTTTTAGACATAAATCAGGACAGGTTTTTTCTTGTTTGAATTGTTTAAATTTTCATTTGGGGGCTTTTCATAGCTGACTATGCGGTGTGAGTTTTGCTCATTGTTGAAGGCCGTACGGTGACCTATAGTTGTTAATTTCTTTAAGACACATTTCATTGAACAATAAATTTGAAATCAAACGTTTGCCTTTTCATACATCGTGGGATAGATGAATATGTATCAGGCACGTTTACTTTCACATACAACTTCTACAAACAATAATGTACTAATTCAATTCAGAAGCATTGCATTGACATCAATTTGAGTTTAAAAAAACAACAACAATGCTTCCTTTTGAATTTAGTCGTAATGTACCCTGTATTGAGATAGTAGAGATAAAACAATATGTAATTTGTCTAAGCCATGAGAGTTTAATCTTTGTACTTTGTTAAATGTGAATTTGGTAATCAGTCTTAAAATTAATCTATAGAGATTCAAGACTCTTATTCCCCTGGAATCACAGAGTAAACTTTTATATAAAACCTACCAATGCAAATGAATGAACGGTCTGTCCAGTTTCCGTCAGGATCACACTCTATATTTTCATTTCCAATTAAATTTAGCTCTACATTGCATTCATAAACCACATTATTATCACCATGCACTATCTTGGAGGTGGCATTTTGAACTATAGGTAGATCAGTACACTCTAAATATAAAACATAGTGTTTTTCTATGAAGAACCGATACAAAACTACGAATGCGTTAAAACAGTCTTATAAAACATTTTCACGTTCTTTTGTAAAACATTTTGCCTCGTGGAAAAGGACAATGATTTTCGTTGTGAAAATACATTGCACGTAATAAATTGAGATCGTCAAGTATCTGTCGATGACCATGGTTGAAATTTGGAATTGGATGTTTCTGAGCCTTATCAGAGAGTTCAATAAATAGATATAACTGACAATAAAACTACTTTTAAACCTTTGAATGAAGTGACATCATGAATAACGTTAAACATCCAGTCTCATCGTTCACTTGTTCATACAACAGTTACGAATAGCATAAATTCCACATATATTACTCATAGAAAGTTTTGCGAATAATTAAGGACAACCTTTGAGGCCACATATCTTTATAGAGAATGTTCAAAATAATCTGAAATTAACAGCATTCCTGTTTTAAAGGACGTTGAAATAATAAAAAAAAAATTTAAAAAAATAATATGATAAAAGAGGGACGAAAGATACCAGAGGGACAGTCAAACTCATAGATCGAAAACAAACTGACAACGCCATGGCCAGAAATAAAAAGACAAACAGACAAATAATAGTACAGATGACACAACATAGAAAACTAAAGACTAAGCAACACGAACCCCACCAAAAACTGGGGGTGATCTCAGGTGCTCCGGAAGGGTAAGCAGATCCTGCTCCACATGTGGCACCCGTCGTGTTGCTTATGTTATTACAAATCCGGTAAATAGTCTAATTCGGTAGGGAAGGGTATTGTAGTTACGACATAAGGAACATATCCGATATCATCTGTGAAACGGTTATTCCATAACGGCCAACCAACTCGTGATGGCGTCCGTAAAATTTACGAAGGGATGACTTCAACTTCACCATTTGTAACTCTTGGTTTAATAGCTTCCTTGTGAGCAGCAATCCTCTATCAAGGAAATCATGATAGGAAAAACAAGCCCGGGAATATCGTATCAATTGGGAGATATATACTCTGCTGGAATGTTGCTACATAGAAATGGAAAATTCACAATTGGGAAGCTGAAGTCATCTCTTTTGTCGTTATGTTTTGTTTTCATCCGACCCCCATTGTCAATTTCTAGATGTAAGTCAAGATATGCGGCAGACTTAACTGATAAAAGTCTTGGGGCGGGTTGGGGTGGGGGGACGTAGCCATCACCATTTTCTATCATTTTACCAGCGAGGGAAATGTAAGTTTCAGTTCATATGAAATCCGTTATGCCATCTGTGCGTTGTATGCACTTTTTAACTAGATCATTGTAACTTTAATTTTGACCCTTACCGCAAAGTGTGCGAACAGTGTAGCTGTCTGAAAGTTGACGAACAAAACTGTAGTACTTCTGAATACACAAATGATTGAAGATTAAGAAAATGCAAATTTAAAAGATAAATCGATTCTGTTTCACTTAAAGTCAGATGTGTTGCTTAACCTTTTTTCGTAGAATATATCAATCAACCGTTTATTTTTAAAATTCTGTATTTTTTCATACACATGATAATTACTAAGAATTTTTGAATATTACACAAAAGCAATGAACTGATAACAACAAAAAACAGAAACATTCAATTTGTTAACCGGGAGTTATTTGTAACATTCTACCTAAAGGGTCTAATAACTATTTAAAGCCATATGAGAATTCAGAAGTTTCTATCAAATAAACTTCCCTGTGAATTGAAAATGTATTGTAGCAATGTTGGATGTATACTGATTAATATTTTAGTCTGAGATATATGATATTTTTATTAGTTGTTTTATGGGTTTGAACTAGCTGTCAGTAACTGCAAGTACTCTCAGATCTGTGGTTTGTGTCTTTCTTGTTCGGGATGTATAAATCCCTGCCACGTTCGGTTTGTGTTTTTGTTGAGATGTTTTTCTGCTTTATATCGATCTGATGAGTTAAGCCCTTTTCAACAGTCTAGGATGTGGGTTTAGCAATCACAAACTTGTTTAACCCCACAACACTCTTTATTTGCCTGTCCCAAGTCAGAAACCTGTAGTTCAGTGGTTGCCGTTGGTTCATGTCTGTCATATTTGTATTTGTAAATTGTGTTGTTTTAAAATAAGGCCGTTAGTTTTCTCAATTGTTTCATCCTTTTCATGTGGGGGCCTTTTATAGGCGATTATATGGTATTGGTTTTTCTCAATGTTGACGGCCGTACTGTTGACTATAGTTGATTACATCCACTTCATCTAAACTTTGGTGGATAGTTTTTTTCATTGAAAATCATATCACATCTCCGTATGTGTATACGTATATACGGTCTTAATCAGTCATGGTTGCATTCAGTATGTATTGCTTCAATGTACAGAGTGAATAAAATGTGTAGTGTTTTTCTGTATCAGTTTTGTTTTGAAATAAATACTAACGTGTGCAAATAAAATTATAATCTGTCCAGTTGCCATCAGATTGACATTCCATGACACCATTCCCAAGTAAATTGAATTCATCATCACATTTATAAATAACGGTATAGTTACTGTCTAACTTTTCAACTGTATACATTGCATTCATGACATCAGCTGGTTCTAAACATACTATATTGAAAAAAATATGATCAATAATTTCTAAGGGGTGAGTTGTATATTCTCTTGTTTTTATAATTGCTATTTTCAATACCTGACGAAATACCTCTAACTAGGAAATAAAGCGCAACGCTTTCATTGTTAAAAAAATGTCTTTCTTGGTTGTACATGAAATTATTTGATTTTTTCAGCAATATTTATGACTCTTTTACAATGGTTGCACTTATGCATTAAAATTTAAAATTCACATTAGCAACACATTTTAAGAAGTATAACCAACTTGATTAAGTTTCACTGGATCAGTCAAAAGTAAATGAAAATTAAAAATGTCATTAAAAATAAATTTCAAATTAAAATGAATCTGGTAATTAATATTGAAATAGATTTATTCCGATTCTACAAAATTTCTAACCTTGAATTGGTTTAAAAAAAACAATTCATTGCGTTATACTTGATATTTATCTTACCAATACATATGAATGAACGGTCTGTCCAGTTTCCATCAGACTGACACTCAATATTTTCTCTTCCAATTAAATGTAACCCTACATTGCATTCATACACCACGTTATTATCACCATGCACTACCTCAAAGGTGGCATCTTGGATTTCAGGTGGATCTGTACATTCTAAGAATATATAAAAAAAAATATATTAAAAAATAATCTACATAAGACTACGAATGCAATATAGCAGTTCTTCAAAAGATTTTCACATTCTTATATAATACATTTTGCCCCGATTAACTTTCAAGGAAAGAAAAAGACAGTGCTTTCCACTGTGAAAATGCAATATGCATTGCATATCATCGCTTGTTCTAAATAGAGTCCGTTAGGTACCTGTTCATGACAATGATTTACATTTGTATTTTAAAGCTTTTGTTTGTATCAGAAAGTCCTATAGACAGCCATATCTGACAATCCAAATACTTTTAACCTTGGTGATAAGTAACATCAAGCGTTTCTGCAACAAACTCAAATTGTTCACTTGTTTGGAAGATCATAAAGCAGTTACGAATAAAAATGATTCACATAATTATATCAATCAATCGATTATTTCTAAAGTCTATATTTCTACTACACATGATGACTACTAAAAAATGTGAAAATAAAACCAAGCAATAAACTGATAAAAAAACAAAAAAGAGGCATTCTCAATTGACAATCAATTGTAAAATCATACTTTTTTAAAAGTTATCCAGGAAGAAAACTTCTTAAAAGCGACAAACGAATTCCAAATTTTATTTTAATAAATTCCAATTTCCGTTGAAAAGATAGTTTAGCTACGTCCTTAATACGTCAAGGCAGCATTAAGGAATTAATGGTTTACTTTACAAAGTAACTCAAACGTGTATTTTGTTCTATATTAGTTTTGTGTTAATTGTGTAAATTAATACATGTATTATTTGATTGAATACTAACGTGTGCAAATAAAATGAAAATCTGTCCAGCTGCCATCAGACTGGCATTCTATAACACCATTTCCAAGTAAATTAAATCCATCATTACATTTATAAATAACGGTATAGGTACTGTTTAACTTTTCAACTGTGTACATTGCATTCATGACATCAGTAGGTTCTGAACACGCTGGAAAAATATGATCATTGGTTTTAAAGGAGCGAGTATTGTATTCTCTTGTTTTCATAATTGCTATTTTCAATATTTGACTAATTCCCCTAACCAGTAGTAAAGCGATACGCTTTTATTTTGAACCGATGTGAAATATTTCTGGCTTGTTAATGAAGTTATATCATTAATTCATCATATATACCAGGCTTAATTTGTTTACGCCTGATGAGCGTTTTGCCTACAAAAAACTTATCAGTGACGCTCGAATCAAAAAAGTTAAAAAGGCCAAATAAAGAACGAATTTGAAGAGCATTGAGGACCCAAAATTCACATAACTATAATATTGATTACTCTTTCATAATGGTGGTACTGTTGCATTCTAAGTAATCAATCATACTCGCAACACATGTCTTAAAACATTTCAGAGATGTTTCTGCACATGTCAATTCTATAATAAAACCATCATATTTAGGCAATTACTTTACTCACATAGGAAAGTTATTTGAAATTGTTAACAACAATATTGTAGAACTATCGATCACTGTAAATAAGCGTTATTTGAAGACAACGGTCGAAAGTTAAGATCAACCCATGCAACAGTGTTTCTGAGAAACGAAGGTAATAATAAAATTTAGAAACCTTGTAAACCTAACAATTTCTTACTCAGTCGATTGCTGTTTGGTTGTGACATCATTTTTCATGAATTAACAAAAATATAATGTATGTTTTTCTTTGGTTACGGAAACAAATCTACTTTCTTTATTGCAATATTTTGTGAACTCATTCTGTGAAATTCCCAGTAAAATAAGCCTCAATAACCATTTTAATCCTCATTGACTTAAAG